CCAACAGAAATCTAAGCCAAGCGCAGGCAGTTTCCCTGCAGGGAAAGAAGCCTCTCTCACTCTCTCTCTCTTTGCTCTGCTCTGGGCTCTTGTTAAGATTTACAGTGTTTGGCTGCTCTTGCCCACCTATATTTTAGCACCACACACACTCAGCTCACCCGTCCTCTGCCATGTCTCTGCAGGCAGCACCAACATTCTCCCACACCCAGATCTATGCCTCTGGATGGATTTATATGCTGCAAGCTAAGAATATACATTTTCAAAGACAACTAAAACATGGAAATTTGATGTTTTGTTGTGTGTAGTTGCCCCGGTTTCCAAATTTTACATTGTTTTATGTGATGCTGTGGTTTAAAGATTTCCCCTATACTGTAAATGAATATAAATCAATAGTCAAGCTGAGGCAAGAAGCAGTGTGTTTAAACCAGTTCCTTGTTTTGCAGTGGAAACCCACCTGCATTTCTGTTTCTTCCTGAATATGTTTAAAGACGGATAATTTGATCAATTAGCATTGGTTTGTGCACATGCACCTGCATGCTAACACAGCTAGCTGATTTCAGTCAGATATTTAAGTCAAAAAAATGCTAATAATAATGACAATTACCTAAGAATATTTAACACATCCAGTGCCGTGTTTGCCTTACTAGGCCAAAGGTTGCATTAGAGAGGCTTTAACAATGCATAAGCTGCACACCCTGCACCAACAGGGAAGCTTATAACATGTAAAAGTCATGTGTTAATAAGCAGGATAAACATAAAAATAAACCTCGACTGAAATATGCAAAGCTCAGTGAGAAAGACCTGCGTGAAATGTTTTGTAATGTGTAGCTGTGATTTCTGTGTGGCAGGTCTACCTATTTGCCTGCATGTGGGTTTAAGTGCAGGATGTGACAGAGGTTAATTTAGATGTCACATCATGCACATCGCTCACTTACTATATGGGCTCCTTATTAAAGCCCACGCATCAGTTGCACACGTGTGAAGAGCAGGAAAAGGTGGCAGCATCCATGTGCCTGTGTGCTGTGGGGGTGGGGAGTTCCTGTCCACACAGAGCTTCACACCATTATGGTAGGACTCAAACATCTATTCTCACGCACACAAATGCTGAGCAGAAATTGATTAGTAGTACCAGATTTGATTACTCAGGCTGTCTGTGATTAAACTATCTATCATGGGCTATAAGTGAAGCCATGGCTTTGTATCTGGGCACACGCTACAAAACAAAGCCTTGGCACCATGATCATAATCTAATCAAATGTAATCCTCAAGTGCCTCTTCTGAGCCACTATGGCATTTTCCTAAAGAGTTCTTCAAATATATTGAGGTACACTGTAAAAAACATTCAAAGTTGTACATCATTTTCCTGTTTATTTTACAGATTTTCTCTGGATTTCCAACATACATGGGAATGTTAATAAAATTACAAGAATATACTGTGAAATCACCTGCCAAAATTAAAATAGCAGAAAAAATCTGTAGCTGTGAATTACCATAAAGTTCTTGTGTTTTAAAGAAGATTTTTCTTTTTTCACATAAAGGGACTGTTAAAATAGTTACAATTTCAAACTAAATTTATAAATAGTTACCATTTTTGTTTTCACAGTTTGAACTAGCAGACTTCCCAGCATGCATTGTGTGAGAGTTAAAACTCTTCAGTTACTCTTTTTTTTCTAGTTTGACAAAAACCTTCATGGTGGAAACTTACTGTGTGTCTGTAATACATATTACAGTAAACCTAGGTCAATATTTTTCATAATAATAAACAATTATGCAAACCATGATCAAGGTGCTGAAGTCAGTGTTGATTCTTGTACATTTAGCATCTAACAAAGCAGCTGGAAACAGTTCTTATAATAATAAACATTTTTTATTAAGGAAAACTTCCTGGGCTTTAAAGGTTAATATCTTTTTTAATCGTGAAAACACTTTAAATACACAAGATTTCATTTAAAATTAAAGAGAAAAAAACTGTATTTAAAATTCTGGAAAACTACTGTATTTTAAGTAGTTTTAAATATTTTTAGATATTTTTTGTAAATTTAATAAGGTAATTTTTTGGTGTGTCTCAGCTGCCAGAATATTCCAGCATTTTAACCTTTTTTTTTTTACAGTGTACAGTCAGAGTAAACAAAAAGTAAACATGTTTAAAACATGCCTACCATCTTATGATGTCCATATTTCTTGGCTTTCCGTATATTGGTGAGGAACCGGCAGCCCATCTTTTTAGCGTACCACACGGACATGAACATTCTGCTTCAAGTGCCAAAATCTAAATGGTTGCTGATGCTAGAGAGCAAACCCTGGTCACTGCCCAAAGTGACATACACACCCACTGAGACCGTGGCTGGGAGAGTGACAGCACACTGCCTTCAGAAATATCACAAAAGCATCATTTAAAGGTGAATCATTAGGTCTAGGGCGTGCCATATCAGTTAGACAGACACCACAGCGTGTCCAGGTTGTCTCGGTTAAAAGATGTCTATTTTAACTTGGCGCAAGTCCTTTGAGTTTAATTTCCACTCAGTTTAATTTAAAAGAGTGTGGTTGCACATTTATATTATTTAAAATCCGGAATCACAGAACAAGCGCAGCCCAATTAGTGTCTTCCTCTTGCTGAGTTGGTGCTGGAGACTTCATCTGAGGAAGCTCAGTGCCATCGTCCAGACTGAGGCTCGAGCTATAAAAATGTCTCTTTGCCGGTGAGGCTCGTTAGTATAAGAAACACGGTTGTGTTGTCTTCAGAAATCACCCATCCAGAGTAAAAATGAGCACTGACAAACAAATCCTTTCATTCTTCATCATCTGTGGCAGTGGACTGCGGTACGGCGCCTCCCTGCTAGTGGTCTGTGCTCACTGAGAAAGCAGTTCATATTTTCTGCTGCTGCTCCACTGTACCCCTCCCATCCTCAAAGAGGAGCACACACAAAAGTTTGATGGGAATTACTTAGCTGTCTCGCTGTATAATGTTGATGGTGGTGATGCAAGAGGGGAAAGCATTATACTCTGGCTGAATTTAGAAGGACAAGCAGCTCAAACTGGCCTGACTCATCCTGGGGAGTGCTTGAACCGAAGCGAAGAGGGGAATGGAGGCCTTCAGTCAGTCAGAACAGTGAAACCTACTGTAAACACCTCGAGGGTGAAAAATGCAGCTTTTTTTCTTCTTACTTTTCTAAGTTTGTCATAAATATCTTTCAGAAACATTTAAGTCATACACGTCAAACATTTTGTGTAAGCAGCAGAAATCTTTGCAGATATTCTACTGTACATCACGCAAATGACTATAATTTTGCTTTGACTTAAACAGCTTTTCCTTCAGCTCTACACCTGTGCCATATTGTATACTGTTGATGATATACAGGTGTAATTCTTCCCCATGATAAGAATTTGTTGCAATATTGATATGTGTGAAAACATGTTTGCATAGGCAGGATAATGTGGCGTCAAACATGTGCCTACAAATAGAGCATGGCAGAAGGTGGAAGCATCTGAGGAGGACCTAATACCAAAAAAGGAGCTTCTTCTGTTGTTTGGAAGTGGTTCAACAACAGGAGATCAGATTTTACTCAAACATTTTGTAATTTGCAAGTTATGACTAAAGCCCGTACAAAAGAATCACTTTATTTGGCCAAGTATGTCACACACAAGGAATTTGTCTTTGGTATCAAACTGAGGCAGCCATCTGCAGCCATCAGGGGCAACTTGGGGGTTCAGTGTCTTGCCCAAGGACATGACAACATGTGGACTGCAGGCACTGTGATTCGAACCTCCAATATTTTGTTTGGGAGATGACTGCTCTACCCACTGAACTACAGTCGCCCCACAGGTGGAAACATCAAATTTGTTCCATAATCTCAAGAAAAAACACCAACCAGAATACAAGGAAAGCCAGAAGTTGCATGAGGAGAACACAGCAGCAAGTATGCCATTTCCTTTAATTCATAAGGTACTGTCAGCACGTTTGTCAGTGGTAAAAGAAGTAAAAGCTAGAACAAGCTGACGGAGGCAGGGGGGCATGTTGCTTAGCCGTTTGTTTGCACAGCTGTCAGGACTGAATGCTGATGTGACTTGTGGCCAAAATGATACTGTTGAATGGCACTATTCTTATATCAGTTATATTGCTGTTGCAAAAATACAATTAAATATAGTGACATACTCTTATTCTACATCATTCTGCCCTACTCAGCTCATCAAAAATCAACAATTCTGAAGATGAATTAATCAAAGAGCTTCATAAGAACCCTCACTGCAGCCCAGCTCAGCTCCTATAGCCTTACATTGGTAGACAGTGAGGGTGAAGGAAGGGGTGGGATACTTGAAAACCAAATGTATAAAATTTGTAATCAATAGTTAAATGTTGGATGTGGCCTTTTAAAGCCACACAGCTTCACTCTTAAATCCACAGATTTGCTCACAGCTCACTCAAGCTCTCTTCTGCTAAAAGGCAGATGAACAGAGAGGCATGTAATATATGTGTACATACACAATGAACACACTTATGCAAAGACAGCTGAAGGACAAGCAGTCAGCTGATGTTCTCACCTATCTAATTTTCTCACCCTTCCACCCTTGTAAGGCCCTCGCCATCCGTCTTACTCAGGCATTCAGCATAAACAGTTCTTTCCTTCTCTCTCACCATGCATATTTTTCTCTTCTTCCTCTCCACCCTCTTCTTCCCAAAGGACCTGTGCTGCTGCTGCACAGTAATTACACTGATGCTGCAGGGACATATTTAAACATTTATTAAAGAAAAGTAAGGAGGACAAGGAAAATGAAGAGAGAAACCAGATACTGGTCAAACAAGAGTGCAGAGCAGAAATAACAGAGAACTTTTGGGGAAACACTACAGAAAACTGAATCTTTACATTAAAGGTGATTTTCTTTTGTGTGTCACTGTGACAAACACATCTTCAAAGTGGTGACTGTTTTGTGTGAAGAGGATTTATGTGAAATGTATTATGCATAGGAACAGTGTTGTGCTTTGAGTGGAGAGAAAATGATATGCATCCTTTTTCATTAGAAGAGCGGCATGTAACATAAACTGGGCAGTGGGGGTCTTCAGTAAGCACTTTGTGCCTGCTGGTTCTCGCTCCCAGCTCCTCGACTGAAGGATAAGTGGCAAATAAACACACCTTAGGTGATGTTAAAAAATCATTTCTGAGGCAGATCTCTGTCAGTGAAAAGCAGTTCCACTGCCTCTAGGGTTGTTAGCTTGTGAGGGAACTTCACTTACTTACAGTATGTGCCCCCATAGTAAGAGGAGGACATGGCACAGCAGACATATAGACAGAGGCAAGAGGATTCAGTACCATGAGAAGAGATTAATATTAATAAATTGTGTCTTATGTTTTGGAAAAATTAGATGTCAATTGAAGCTAAAGCATCTATTGGCTAAATCATGAATACAACCCAAAGACCTTCTCTTATGTTGCCAAACCACTGCAATGCTTCCAGAGACAGTCCTACCCATAGATCAGTGGGGTCTGGAGTGGTACTGGCAAACCTCACACCATTAAAGCAATAAAGAGACAAATGACACCACCTACATATCACTGACAAACACATGGACACTACACCAGCTGCAAAGTAACCCACATAGGCGTTATTGCAATGTATCTTGGCATACTAGGAAATTGAATCCATGCAAATGCAAAGTAAGGAACTTCTGTTTACTGTGTCCTGGGGAATGGATATGAACACATTTTTCTTACTTACAAACAGGTGACAAATTAAAGGCAAAACCTGAATAGGTGAGTGATCTTTTCCACGACATCAGTGCCCCCACCCATAGGGCACAAGAGGTCACTGAATGGTTGGATGAAAATGAATTATGTGGTAGTCCAGCGCCTTACTAAGACACTTTACGAGGTTTTTTCTTTTAATTTGTCACATGTTTATATGGCTCTATGGTGAAGAGTGCAGAATGTCCCATATATTAAACAGTTTAATTACAAGCAGGCACTATTATTCAGGCTGTTTTCAAGGTCAGGGCAAGCAGACAAAGACAAGACAAGCTGTAGTCAAGCTAATGTATACAAGAGCAACCACAGAGATTGAAAGCCACATTAACAGCCCAGTTCCTGCAATGACCCTGTCTTTTCTCTTTTAAAAATAATGAAAATATTATTCTAACTAGGTCTTGTATTCAGATATTCCACTCATACCTAAAAGGTATTTCTAAATAATCAGCTGCTTGATGTGGAGAGACTAACTAATGGCACCGTGGCAGTTTGTCCCATGGAGTATAAATTCCACTCTATATATTGTCTGTATTTCTAGACAGATAAAATCATGTGAGCAGTTTATGGTGCATAAGGCTAATGCAATGTGTCTGATCATAAAAATGTTTTATGGAAAAAGCAGCATAGCCTCCTTTTCAAGGTTCTGAAAGTCACAGCACAGTCTAACACTGACACCTACAGGTTTCAGTCTGTCCTACAAACAGACTACCCTCCTACAAACCCTCAGCCTATATGGCACCATCATCATACCACTGAGACTTAAACAAAAATGCATCTTAGGATTAGTTTCATTTTGGATACATTTCCACTGATTTCCACATTTAAGGTTCAGCCTGAAAGACTGTTTCTGGAGCAATATTCTAGCACCACTTGCACTTCTTCACACTGAAACAGAACCCACAATGTGTAATTCTTTGATATGTTCACCGCATAGCAGCTTGTAATAGAATTTGTAATGTAATAGACTTATTCTTTTCATTAGAACATAGGAAAAGACATATGAATATCTCACACGCAGATATAAAATGGCATTGAACAGGCAGCTGTCTATCTGTGATCAGACAGCCAAACGTTGAGCATAGGCAAATTCAACAAAGATGAGAAAATGAGCATACAAAGCACAGAAATGATGATGACTGATGATGATACTGGTAACTTTCAGGGTGACGGCGCAACAGGATCGCTGTGCTCTTACCAGGGTAGAAACTGCGGAGGTGTACATTGGAGTGTGTCCTGTGGACATCAACACAGGCTGCAAAACAACAGAAGGGAGAGGGTAATTGTCCAGGGCATGCAGATGGGCACAGGGGAAGAACAGTGGGAGCTGCTTTGGATTGTGTTTTTCCTTTATTCATTAGAACGGACAAGTACACCTAGGGACACATTCACATCTGGATTCACCCACAGGCCCACTAGAAGCACCAAAACTAATACAAAGACCAAGACTGTCTAATATGAATATTAATACTGAAAATATCTTATTTATACATATGATATCTTTTAAATGTTGCACATTGTAATTATACTATTATGCCTAATATATAATGTAACTGCTGCAAACAAAACACTGAGAACTTGCATAGTGTACCATATAGGAAGCATATAGTACAGTGTGCATATAGAAGGGGACACTTTTCTAGGACATTATACAAATGTGTCATCAGCCTGTATCGACTGTTACATAGTAGCATGTGTTTCCCACACTGGCCATTGACAGCTATTGACGAACAAGTGAAAAACACCTCATTCAGAATCGGTTAAGCATTAAATAACAGTGGCACAGCTAAAGTTGTCATTCTAAACAGTACATTCTGTGCCTATGAATTTTACAAAGAGCAGCAGTGCAGCATTTTCACTTGTCAGGACACACTTTTCTTCTCACTGGGAAGGTTTTATATTGCAGCAAAGCACGTCATTAAAGTATGAATGCTGGGACAGCTGTATTTGCTGATCCAAGTAAGACTACCTGGGAGGTGCGGTCATGCTGAACCTGATATTTACAGATAGGATCTATGCACCTTTCTTTCCTAATACAGCCACGGCCCTCTATTAATGGCTCCTGTGTAGACATTTCAATACCTTGCTCAGTGGCATGTCATCAGTAGTTGTAACAGTTGCAATGTAGTGGAGCATTACTCATATATTTTGTCACGCTAGCCTGACCAGGACTTCACTAGTGGGTGAAACGACTCAACCAAGCATCCTCCTCCTTCACCTTTCTGCTGCCAGCGCCCAGTCAAAAGCAGGAAGAAGGGTGCGGGAGGGGGGACGGAGAGGAAGGGGAAGCATTCAACTCATAAGGTATCAAATAAAAACATTAGAAAATGTGGCAGACGCAGGGCAGGGTACTGAAGTTACTTACCATATCACACAGTCACGAGCAGGGTCACAAAACCAAAAATGTCAAGACTGGACCATCATGACATTATGAGGAAGGAAACCAGCCACTGCCATCATCATCGTTGTCATCATCATCAAACAGTAAAAAACCTTTATTATCTTCATCACAATTACCATTATCCTCAGCTTTAATAATTTGTTACTCTTAAGTAATTATAAATCATCAGGCATGAAACAGTAATACTCATGACATATCAGCAGAATACAATATGATCATGATCGCCGACATGAGGCTGAGAGGGAACAAAATGGCTGCAGCAGTCTTTGTCCTCAGTTACCCAACCTGGGATTGAGTTGTTATTATTTATATATTCATTAATAACTGTTTCAAGGATGTAGAGTACAGACATGAAATGATGCCAGCAATTCACTGTGGATTAAATGAGCCCAGACCTCTATACTTTCTATTGCACTGAGCTCTCCCTGAAGAGACACACAAGACTTCATAAATAATGGCAGTATTCCAGAAATAGAAATAGGGACAAGTCTGGTTCCTAAAACATTGGGAACAACATCAGCATGTTCTTAAGATGGAATGAGGCTGCAGTGAAAGTAATACTAATGTTACTGTTGCTATCATTTTATTTTCAGTTTCTCGCCATTTCACATATTGCTAATTGCTATGTGGAAGATAGTTTTGTACTGTAGGTCATTCTTTAACTGTTGAATCAGTGAACATGCTGAGACCCAAATTTTCGTTTTTGCAAATGGTACTCTCTTATATAATTGTTAGGAAACTTTGAGAGGGACAGGACACCCTTGTCTGAGGCAGGGCCACTTTATGAATTAGGGTTATAAAACTAGTGTATTTTTAAACTGAGGTATTACAGTACATATGTCTGGAGGGACAATATAAAAGCTATGATTTTGCAGCCTAGTTTTAAAGCACACAATCCTCCAGACAGAAGTGCTTTGGTGGTGTAGGTGGAGGGAAACCAACCAAAGTAGAATCTTAAGGGTCTTAAGATGACTTCACCATCTAAGATATTAAACTTTACTTTGGATGTACATGTGCACAGTGTGAGGAAACCTACATCATATACAGGACAGTGCATATTACATTATGTATGAATCATTCTCAGGCTGCACAGTGCAGTAAATAACAATACCAATTCTTCATCTTTATGATTTTAGTCATAAATGTGGTGATTTGCAATTCTTTTCTATGACTTCCTTCAAGACTTGAAAATGTAGGTCCAAAGAAAAATGCCTGAATAATATGAAACTGATTAAGAGTAGAGAGTCATGTTGTGCAAACACCACTGAGTGATGATGCACTCCAAAAGTGGCTGCCATGTAGTGATATTTCGGCTCCTTCCTTTATCACAGATGATTTGCATAAAAGCAGCCATCTAGCACAATTCACTTTGTCACTGATTTTAGACATGCTTAAGACAACACAGTCAGGAAAATGATTTGACTGGGCAAAGATGTGACATTAACATCATGTGGGGGAAGTTCATCCTGGGCATACTGAGAAATATTCTTGATGCCTAATGAAGGTCCTTGACTGAAGTGTTTACCTCCTACTAACTTCGATGCAGCTTGCCCACGTTTTTATAGCCAGCACAGCAGGTTGGTGTGATTGTCAGTTCCTGTTTAGATTAGATAACCAGTTTAAAATATTTCTCAGGTATGAGAAGCCCAAATAACAGGCTCAGTTTGGGCATCTCAGATATGATATGATTATATAATGCAAGGAACAGTGCACAGAGAGTGCAAACCTCTGCCAAGGCAGCTTAATTTCCCCATAATGCAGTTACTCCTGCAATATTTCCATGATAGTTTGACCCTTGTATGATGATTCCTGAACCATGAAAACCATTCGGAATCACACTGATGTCATTATTAGTTTGAAAGTTAATAAAGAAAAATGATAGATATGATTGATTACTAAATGCCACAAAGAGCTAAATAAATGTCCCAAGCAGGATGAAATCTCAATGTGTATTTACAGTCCCTTATAGACATACACAACTCACACCACTTGGTTGCATGTAAGTGCACTTTAGATTCCAACATGCCTCCTGCTACACTTATTAGTGCCACTTGTCTTCAGTCCAAGTGCTCTGCAGTGCAGCTGCACACGTTTGCCACAAGGGCGAACATTGTATAGTCAACAGCCTTTCCAATACTCACAATGGTGATGAATCATTTAAAAATCCTGGATGAATTGTTTCATGGTCATTTCACAGTGTACAGTCAAACAGAGTCACAAGTCTTTGTGGAATCTAATGGATTGCTCCATGAGCAATGTACATTTTTTTTTAGTGAAGATGCAAATCTTTTGTAACAGGTCCTTGATTGATTAAATGGTCTTGGTAAATGGTCTTATACTTGTATAGCCCCTTTCTATGCTTTTACAGCACACTCAAAGCGCTTTCACACTATTTGGCCATTCACCCATCGCACTCCCAAGCACTCACGCATTCACACACCGGTGACATCACCGGGAGCAACTGGGGGTTCAGTGTCTTGCTCAAGGACACTTCGACATGTTGACTGTACAAGCCGGGAATCAAACCGCTAATCCTCCAGTTAGGAAACGACCCGCTCTACCTCCTGAGCCACAGCTGCCCCCATACATTACATTCATTTGTTGCAGTTTGGATTAATACACATTGTTGTGCTAGTATTTATGGCAGCAGGATAGTTGGACTGACAGTGACTCAAAATTAACTATAGTTCCCATGGTTATAATAACAAAGGGCCATGTCAGCTGGCACATTATGGTTCGCTGCTATGTTTTTAATAGTCTTTGAACAAGAATGGCGTTCAAGCTAAGTTAGTCATTGGCTACTTAGGCAATACTGATATGATATATTCATAATCTTTTCATGGGACTTATCAGCATGAAACACATACCAACTGCCTTATATTTTAATGAAATTCATCTGAAGAATTGTTACAGATGCTAACCTTCTTGCTTACAATGTAATTATTTGGCATAAAATAATATTTCCTGTATGTGGACTCCAACAGTATAATGACATAGTAACCAGTGAAAATTTGATATCACAAGCCTCTGGGAAATGCCTGAGTGAGTCAGGTCATGGATCTGAAACACTGGAGGGCACACATCACAATTTAAAAATGTGCTTTAAATATATATATAAATGACCTCATAATGGAAGATTTTAGGGGAATGAGTAAGTATAATTAATCACCATAATAACTGCTGCACCCATCACCTCTGAATAATTACTGACTACCTGGTATGTGCTAATTGACAAACTCCTCTGGGACAAAGGGAATTAAGCAGACCAGACCAGACTATATTCTGACTCATTCCTGGATTTCCTGTGTTGCTGTAATTGTGTAATGCTGATTTGATGCTCATTTAACATTGACCCTCCAATGCCATTAGGTTTTCAATTTGACAGTGTTCCTGAAAAGAGCACCTTCTCAGCACCTGTAAGGACACATCTCCACTGCCAACACAGGTCATCAGGAGCTGGCTCTGCATGTTTTAAATAGCAGTGGTAAAGCACAATAACTCAGTCTCTCCTCTCTGCTTATTAAAAGAGAACATTTTAATGGACATATCTGCTCCTCAGGGACTTCAGTGTGGGAAACAAAAAAACACTTCCCACCTCAAAGCAAAAAAAAAAAAGGAGCTCTTGACTCTTACCAGCGACTGAGGTTTTTAAACGGGCACATGTATGGTTGTATAAGGTGGATCATGATTAAGTGAGCATTATAGTTTACACCTGCTTGCATTTGTAGCTGCAGTATGTACTGTAAATGTTAATGAACTCCAAGCAAAGTAACTGTGCTCATGTTCATGTTATGTCCGTGGCCCAGACCAACCCCAGCACCTCATCTGCGCCTCATCTCCCACACAGGTGGGAAGGCATTCTAGGCAGCGAGGCACACCTGCTCTTAATTACCAGACTAGTACTTAAGGGGAGCGTTGGTGTGCCCTCATTGCCAGATGATCTCTTGTATTCCTGCCGGTAACCTGTCTTTACTCTCATCACTAGGATTCCCTATGTATGAACTGTTTTCTATATTGTTGGACTTGATTTCAGGTAGTAATGAACTGAATGCCCTTGAAGGGTTGCTTTGTGTTTGAACTGTTTTTGCTGTGGACTAGTGTTTAAGAACACAGTACCGTCTGCTTGGTGGTTGCAGCCATTTTGTATTAGCACCATTTGGTGCCTGGATTATGAACCGTTTCTTTAGGTGACACTCCTCAGGACGAGGAGACCAACTCTTGCTGGGACTGGTTGCCTGGCTCTGGATCCCAACTGTCAGCCGTCCTCACACCATCCTGCTACCTGCTCTACCATCCGCTGTGAGCCTGATTCTCACTATCTACTGCACGCTGGACCAGTGATCTCCTGTGCCAACTCCTACACCACCTCTAGACTGTGTTTCATGCCTATGGCATTCACCTGACTTGAGCCAGTAAATTCTGCTACTCAGGCCCTCAGTATACTATCAGTATTGCCATAATCTTAGCGTCACTGTTACTCATTCTCATCCTCTGCTTTTCTTTAGCCAGCTGCGCCTCTCCTACAACCTCGGGTTGAAGCTCTAGCAGTCCAGTCAACCCAGTACTCCCCGCTGCCCTGAGATCAGCTGACGAGACCGGTTCTGACCACTCATCATTTCTGTAGTCATTAAAATACATTTACCTGGTTAAGCCTGAGTCTGAGTTCTGCCTTTTTACTGAGTCCGACTAATATATGTATATATGGTTCTCCATAACAGTTCAGCTGTACCTTTTGACACTGACCATTATATCTTCTGTTGTCTGCATCAATGTCTGATTATTTCTCATGAAGATCTCTCAAATTCTGTTTTGCATTTGTAACACATCTGTTGTAAATTTAGAACATACACAAGCAGTTCAGAGTCTGTGCTGGAAGCTGCTGTAGCTGTATGTTGCTTTAGTGTCCACAAAATTCTTTCCACTTCAGAGTGTAACTACCTTTCTTTCAGTTAAGGAAAAAGGTTCAGAATTACTGGATAACCAGAGGAATCACAGACAAAGGTATACTTTAAGTTCTCATTTGGTTCTGTAGCTGCAATTACTGTACATGTGCCAATCAGTAATATCGATGACTTCCTTTCACTGTGTACATTGGAATTGTTCCTGCTGTTACACACTGAAATCTATTAGGATAAGCTGATCTTTGACCTTTTGTCTCCCATGATTAGTGTCACAATTCATTTAAATATAAGGTTGGAAATGCCATGATTGTCTCACTGAACATACAGTACCATGGTAAAGATATTAATGTGACCTACCGGTTGAGTGATAATGTGTCTCGTACTCCCAAAAGAAAAGACAGTGTGTGTGTTTTGTAGCGCTGCAACAGGCCCACCCCGACAAACAGCTGAGTGAATTGTGGTGCAGTAAATGTGTTAAGTATTGATCAACAATATACATAAGTGAGTTTGTCCTACCTTGACAGGAGAGATATGTGTGTGAGGTGTGTAGCCATGTATGGCCTCCATGGCAGCAAGGTTCTTGTCGCTCATATGAAGCATCTCGGCACTTTTCCCTGGAGCCAGATGTGCTGGGCTGTGCTCCAAGGGGGGCGTCTCCTCATCCTGGTACCTGTACTTCTGCAGACACACACAGCGATACAGAAAAGGCTGTTAGTCTACCTGCTCATGTATTTGTGTAATTAATAATAAAAAAAACAAAACAAAGGATACTTGTTGTGTTAACGGTTAATACTTTTTAAATCAAAACAATCTACTGTCAGCCTCATTCATGTAGCCGTGCACTGATGCTTCAACCCCTTTAAATATTATGGTATAAATAACATTCCCTTCATTAAGTACACAGGGCTGCAAGTCCATCTCAGATGAATCTTCAGCCAAATATAGACAATCTATATGAATGTCTTGTGCGACGCCTACAAGTGCAAAGTGAAGACATGATGGAAACTGAGGACTCAAAATGTTGACATTGCACACTGGGCAAAGTGATCATCCCCCACAACCACATGGAGCAACTAGAGCCATGACTCATAGTGGATCTATAGCAGCAGATCATGCAGCTTCTTCCTAGTAACTGTACTCCCCTACTGATATCCCACACATGGGCAGCGTGCCAGCAGCCCACTCTTTTATCCACACATGGTAGGTTTCATTCTATGTGTGATGACACAAAATGTGCACACAGCATTTTCCATCACAAACGCATCAGAAGGTGGGCAGCATCACAATGGAGTCCTGCCACGCTGTCCTGTGGATTAGTGCTTGTGGTTTTGATACAAGTCTGTAGCCCCTCCAGGCAGATGTGAAGTAGTCCATTCAGAAAATAGAGAAATTCGGAGGGATCATCTGATTTATGGGTGACGGCCCAATGGCCAGTCCTGCTACTCTTTCTCCTTTTTTCCTTTTAGGAGGCAGACGGAAAGGGAGGTGCATCATTGAGCCCCGTCTCAGACAGGCTGCCTAGCAACCAGAGCAGAGCAGAGATTGCAGTGCCACAGTTGGGGCTGCCAGCATCAGTCCTGGATCACATTACACTGAGACAGCAAGAAAGAGAAGGAGTGAAATGGAGATTAAGATAGAGAAGAAAGTCAGGGGGATGGGTAAAAATAAAAAAGCATCACTGAAGACAAGCAGGAAATAACAGTATGGGGGGTGGACAAGACAGACAATGAATAGTTGTTGATAGTACCATAATAACAAGTTGAAAATCAGGAAGCAATTTTCTGTATTAAGCACTGCCACACACAAACACAGATTACATATTATATGTTACCAGCGACCTTCTCAATTCTTTCTGTGTCATAAGACTTTTACTAGATAGCAGAATACACTAAGGGATCTTGGCATGATTATTAAATGACATGAATCACAGCTTAAAGCAGCCCTGAGCTCACTGATCTCCTCTGCCTCCCCCTTTCCTGCATGAACATTCACACTGCCATGTCACCTTCTGTCCCACTGGAGGGGGATGTGACAATGAACTGTGGCATTCTTCCTTCTGGATATGTTAGCATCTAAAGCTAATATGTTTGTTTTGGTAAGATTTGCAACTTTGTATAGTCATAAATTTTACCTTTGTACTGAATTGATATAATTTGGGAGTAATTCAAGCTTTGTGCAGCTTTGTGTCTCATTAGCAGTAACCGGAGTGTGGATTGACAGATTTAGTCGTTAGTCAGCTAACACCAGCTTCGAACTGCTGGTGGCTGCATTTTTTTAGGTTGTCTCAATCAGGCATTCATAGTTTACATCGTTGCTAAGAAACAGGATGTGATGGGAAAGGCAAAGACCAGTTAGGAGAAGCATATGGTGTCATTTTAAGCCCATTTAGACTTGGTTTTAAAATGCACTAACATAACTGTAAACAACCACCAAGATGGCTTGTGATTCGATCACTGAAACCACTTGCTGAGATGGTCTTTTGTAGTGTAAACACTAATGCATCCTCATCCGACAGGGCCATTGGAGAAAAATACATCATCAATGCAGGATGTGGTGGTTGTTTGGTGAGAGCGCGCCAATGGTCAAAACAAGGGGAAAAAAAGCAGAGAAACATCTGATACAAATCTATCAATGTACTGTGAAAGCTTTCTTAATACATCCATGTACAAATCAGACGCTTGTCTTCTTCCTCTTAGTTTAGGGAGACTACTGGTAACAGTAATAATTGTACCCATGACTTTTCAATTTTTAAGTGAAAGTATCACAGGAGCAGTGAAATCTGAGCACAAGCGGTTAGCTGGGCACCTTGGAGACACATGTATATTGACAGGTGTAAACAGCGAGGTGCCTCAGCTGTCCACTTGTGTTCAGATCACTGAGGCATAGAAATTCAGCAAAGTAGCTTTCTTTTTGTTGTTGTTTGTTATTTGTATGATTTTAAGTTGTCTGAATAAACACCAAAAGTATTAGATTATTTCAGTCAAAGGCCTTCAAAGCATTAATGTCTCAAGATTATTTCATTTACAGTATAGTTAAAGATGTACTGAGTGTTTTATACTGGTTAATGTATGAACTCAGGCAGAGATCCTAACAGATTTGTTAATACAATCTGTGCTAGCTGGTGAAGTATTTGTAAACAGAAGGGCAATAAAAACGAGAAAATTATTTTATGTTGTGATAGGCTACATACATATATGCACTCTTGTGTCCACTATTATATTAACACAGTGCTGGATTCAGGCTACATGGAAAACTTGATAATACAATATAAATTGTCTGTTTTCATAAAAATAATTGGAAATCATGTCAATAAAATTTGTTTCTCTCAGGTTCTTTCTCACAAGCAGGGGGTTTTAAAACAGCTTGCAGCAATTAAAACCTGCTACTAACTGTACAATCGACCCACTAAATTACCTCTGCAGGAAAATACTGTACCTCTGGGTTTCCCAGGCCTTATTATGTGTGTATATCATGGAAGGCAACTAGTGCTTCTTTTGGGATTACTGCATTGTAACAATCAATATTTGATTTGATTTGATTTGATTTTTTCTTTCAAGCATGTAAAGACAGTTGATATGACAACACACATGATTGTACACATAAACCAATATCAATTTGCTTATACCTAGTACATGCTTGAATGGAGTAGGAAGAAGTCAGACTTATCCAGTCCTACCCCATGACATCATCTTACCATCATTGGTTTGCAAGCAGTATCTCTACATAGATAACTCGCTTCTACACCACACAAGTAATATACTAAAAAAATTATAACAGTGTTAAGATTCTTACATAATTACATTCTTAAATAATTATCTTCTACACCACACAAGTAATATACTAAAGAATTTTTACATAGTGTTAACATTCATACACCACACCCACAATGTTCCATCTAATTAATCATTAAGCCTGTTCTTGCATATATCTTGATTGACACATACCTTTATATTTACGTTTAAACTCGTCAATTCTATTACTATTTTTTATGTCCACACTTAAATTATTCCATAGTTTTACCCCACTTATGGAAATACAAAATCTTTTTTTGGTTGTACGTATAACATGAACTTTTAAATTTAACTGACCCCTTAAATTGTATCCCCCTTCCCTTTCATTAAATAGTTTTTGAATTCCACCAGGTAATAAATTGTTCCTGGCTTTATACATAAACACAGCAGTCTGATATCCCACTAAATCAAACAATTTTAACAATTTAGACTGTATGAAAGCTCCATTGGTGTGATCCCTATACCCCATCTTATGCACCTAACTCTTGCTCTCTTATTTACCACCGCGTTATGGCCTCGTTGTGCACTTCATGTCTCACTTAAATGGCCAGCACACATAACTAAACTAAGGCTATGTAAAAGCCAGAACAATGACTGTTATGTTTATCTTGCTGAGGAGCCAAATTTCGCTGTCCCAGTTTAAAAAGTGTGAGGCGTGTTCTTTTATACTGAAAAGAGAAGACTAATAACAGGATATATATTTCACAGTGTGAAATTTATTATCCTCCGTGTCCAGAGATCCGGTCGTCGAGGCCCCTGCCTTCGACTGCTGCCCAATCCACTATGCACCGGCCCCTTATGGATCCCCCTGCAGGTGGTGGGCCCACGGGAAGACGTCCCCACATCACTTGTTCGGGCTACGCCCAGCCGAGCCCCGTGAAGGGAGGCCCAGCCACCGGGCACTCGCATTCGAGCCCCAACCCCGGTTCGCCTCCAG